CGGTCCCTGTGCTTTGCTAAGCTTGTTCTAAGTTGGTGCTTTAGACCACTGAGCCATCTCACCAGCCCCGATATGGTCTTGATAAATTGCTCAGATGTGATTTAAATTTGAAGGCCGCCTGCCTCAGCCTCCCACTACAGGGATTATAGATGTACGCCACCACAGCTGGTTGTCATTTGTCTTCTTTCACATGTTTGTCTTAGCATTGTACCCTAAAGTTCCAGGGCCAGTAATTCTAAATGTTTGTTGAATCAATGAATGGGTGTGAGACCTCCTTGAAGTCATACATATAAAATGCATCTCAGGGCCGGGGAGATAGCTTGGTGGGCTAAGTGCCTGCTCAGGCAAGCACAAGGTCCAGGGTTTGATCCCTGGCACCACATACCATGCCGGCCCTGCCCCCAGGTGTGCTGAGCCAGACACCGAGACTAGGTGTGGTGGCACATGCCTGTAGTCCCAGCACTGGGGAGGCTGAGACAAGAGGATCACTAGGAGTCCGCAGCTCAGACTCATAGTGAGACCCCATACCAAATAAATAAGATTATAAATAAATTAATAAACACAATGCATCTCACCAAGTCTAGCATGTAAGTGCTCCACAGAGAGGTATGGCTACATTCCTCCAGTATTCATTCTCCCTTCCCGTAACAGTGGAGGTTTTAGCTGGGCATGTGGCAACACAGCATAAGGACTACATCTCCCTTCCAGTGTGATAGCGCATGCCCAATTACTCAGGAGGACTGCTGTCAGTCTGAAGCTAGCCTGGACTACACAGTGAGACCCTGTCTCAAAAATCCAAACCCAAAACCAAACACAGAAAACCTTGTAGCTGGGACAGGTAGGTGACTAGTTCCAGGCTGAAGGGAAATGAGAATGTGTAACTTCTCAGCTGGTTTTCACAGGAGCCAGCCGACCCCCACAGTTCTCTTTTGCTCCTGGGAGTACAGATAGGAAGCCAGGATGGCCCCGTGGCACTTTCACGTACACAGAATTTGATGGGGGCTGGGGAGATGGCTCAGCGGAATAAGCGCTTCCCTGGCAAGTGCAAGGGCCTGAGTTCAATCCCCAGTTCTGAAAAAAAAAAAAAAAAAAAAGAATTTGATGGAAAATGGGTGTTATCTCAGTGTGTGAATGAAGCCACCTTCTGGGGAAGGGTGACCTGGCTTCTGATGGCTTCCCAGGTCACAGCTGTCACATCCACACTTGAAGGGAAGAAAAACCTTTCCTCCCCATCCTATTTAGCCTTGTTATTGGGCTGTTTGGTCCCCATGGCCTTTCTGCATGATTTTTTCCATTCTCCCCAAGGTTTCCCCAGTTCTGTGACCCCTTCCCTGCCACTTCTCAAGTCCCGTCACTCACTCATCCTCCTCCTCGGCCCCCTGCAGCCTCTGCTCCTTCTGCTGCTGCCGGCAGATGAGGACGCCCGTGGCGGCCACTGCTGTAGCAATGATGGCGGCAATGATGCCCCCGATGATGCCTCCAGTGGCTCCCGCGCCTGCTGTGTTGGGTGTCTCTGCAAGGACAAGGACAGTGTGAGGGGTCTTGGGCAGGAAGCTCCCCATTCCCAGCCCCACTCCTAAGTCACCCCCATCTGCCTACCTCCTTTTCATTCAACCAATCCTCAAGGAGCACGGGGCACTACCATGCCATCTCCACCCCCATGAGATTTAGGTTCTGGGGGGGTGGGCGGGAGACAATAGCAAACAAACACATGGGCCATCTCACCTGTGGGGTGGGAGTCAGTGATAAAGAAGAAAAACATGGAGTGGGGAGCGCAGACCCCTAAAGGTAGACAGAACTTGCTGTGTGGGGACATTTGGTCAGAGACCCTAGGGAGAGGAGGGCACAGAGAAGAACGCAGAGCTGCTGCAAGTGTCCTGAGGCAGCGTCCTGGGGCTTGCAGGGAACAGCAAGGCAAGTGTGGGGCTGTGGCTGAGGGAGGAGGAAGATGAAGGGAAGGCAGGAAGGGTTAAGCTGAAAGGTGGAGAACTGGGGGAAGATTCTGGCCCAAGAAAGAGTCCCTCATCAAAACAGGGCTTGGAGGTCTCCCCTAGACTGATGGGAGGAGGAGTGGGCAGCTGCAGCCCAGCCTTTCCTCTCTGCTACACCCGCCTGCCTCTTCTTGGGAGCAGGGGCCCATTTACTTGCCAGCTTCTGCAGCCAACTGTGTGGCCCCAGGCCAGGCACACAGTAGGTGTTTGGCAGATGTTTAAGGTCGGCAGCATGGACTGCTCGGCACATAGATAAGCTTGCTGGCCCCACCTCCCAGCCTGGAGACGGGGTGGGCAGAGGAAGTACAGTGGTGAGAGAGGCCCCAGGCACCTCCCATACCACCCCATCATCCAGATGAGGAGAGGAAGCTCCCAGGAGATGCTGTCTGCACCCTACTTCCAGCTTTGGGCCCCAGCCGCTTCTGCCAGAGGGCTTCAGACTGGAGGGGTCACAGAGTCATGGTCCTCAGTCCTCACACCGTCATCCTGGGCATGGGGCTCTTCCACAGGCACAGAGGTGGTACTGCCAGATCCATTAGGGCTACCATTGTGTCCCTAGCTTGGGGTGGTCCAGCTCTGCACATGTAAGTTGGGCCAGTTGAAGAAATACACAGATCCAGCCCCTGGTGCTGAAGTCTCTGGCACTCTGGAGTCTATCACAGGCAAGTCCCCCAGGCACCCGAATCCCCAGAGGTGGCTCTGCACTGAAGGCCTCCCTCCTTGACACAGATCAAAGTGGCCCCTCATAGTCTAAGAGGCCCTGGAGGCCTGAGACAGGAAGCTCAGGTGGGTCACAGCCGGTTCCTCCCTGTCCCTAAGCCACCCTCCTGGTGCTCCGTTCTACAGCTGGGTGCAGTGGGGACATTCCTGAGATCAGCCACAGTCCCGAGGCTTGGAGCAAGGGGGGGAGGGGCCCCTGGATGACATGGGGGGCTCTCCCAGAAGCCCTAGCTCCCATGCCCATCATATAACCCAAGAACAGAGCATGGTGAGCAGCCCTCCCTTCCCAACGTCCTCAGCAACCTAGAAGTCTAGCTTGTGCTGTGTGAGGACCATACTGCAGTCTTTGCCCTCCTGAGAAAGCGGGGACCTGCCCTTGCTCCCCTCACTGTAGGGTCCTATGTTAGGGTACCTTGCTCTCCATGGGGAGCCCAGGGCTCCAATCTGCCTGACCCTTTACCTCTGTCTTGGGTCCCAGGAGCCAGACCCCCCAGTCCTGTAAGCCCTGGAGCCATCGACCCAATTCCTAGTGCTGGTAAACCTCAGGGCTCTGTGGGTCCTTCTCCAGCCCTGGGACTGGCAGTCTGTCCCACCTGCTCTTCCCCAGAACCCGAAGAGGGGATCCTCAGATGTATTACAAGACACCCTGAAGTTTTCTTCCAAGGCATTTATTAACTCCTGAGTGCCACAGGGCCAGGGTCAGGCTGGGGCCACAAATGTGTCTCTTGAGGGGGAGGGTCCTCTCTTGTCCTCGACTCCATCTGAACTCCCCACTTCCCATGCAACCCTGGGGCAGAGAAGTCCAGTGCGCGGCTCCACCTCCTTCAGTCCAAGATGGAGATAGGAGGTGACAACCAGCTGTCAGCTTGGGCCAGCCGGACAGACCTGTCCAACCAGTCTGTGGCCCTCCTGGGCTGCGGCTGGGGCAAGAGGCTGTGTCTCTCTCTGTCCCTTGTCTCTGGGTCACACGTAAACTGCCCGCCGCGAGATGAGGGAGCCATCCAGGTGCGACTCCATGTCGTCCTTGAGGGAGGAGGCCGGAGGCAACATAAGGCCTTCCTCTGGCTTCTCCTCTTCCTCCTCTTCGTCTTCCTCCTCCTCCTTGCCGTCGGGCCTCAAGGGACCAGGCGCAGTCGGAGTCCAAAACACAGGGCCCCCATTCCCAAATATCTGAGTCTTCCCATCATTCGATACCCTGTCGCCATCACGGCCGCTGCCTCCAACTCCGCCTGCTCCTCCAGGGCTCTTCCTCCTCTTCCTCGCCCTCAGCAGGAGGAAGGCGATGGAACTCGCAGCCAGGAGGAACAACACCAGCAGCACCCCGCCCACAGCCCCCCACACCAGCGGGCCCTTGTCTCGGGAAGAGGCCTGGGGGGTGTCTGAGGAGAGAGGAGGAGGAGAGAGAAAGAGAGAGAGAGAGACAGAGGTCAAGAGCGCGTGTTTGGGGTGAGGCCACAGACGCATGTTAGTGACAGGCTGGGAGAAGGATCGAGGAGGTGGTGATACCCAGAGCAGGGGCTCCCCAGTTCAGATCTGCACCCACACTGTCCCTCAATTTAGATGGCTGTGCCACAGCTGCGCACCAGGCACAGTGCTTGCCTAGCACATGCGAGGCCCTGGGTTCCGTCCCCAGCACCACAAAGAAGAAAACAAAAATTACAATTGCTGGACAACATTTCACAAACCAGGCAATTTCACTTAAAAGCTCAGACTTAAGTGCAGTACTGGGGACAAAGCCCAGGGCCTCCTTTTTTTTAGTGTATGTGCTGCCGAAGCGAGCACTCCAGGGCCTTCTTATTGAGCTACAGCTTCAGTCCTTTTGTACTTTGAGTATGTTCTTATTAAACTGCCCAGCCTGGACTTCAACTTGCACCCTCCTGCCTCAGCCTCCCAGAGTGTGGGGATTACAAGGAGCCTGGTTTCAGATTTCTCTTAAGGCGGGGAAATATCTGATGGGCCAACACAGATGGCCCACAGATGACTGACAGGCAGGAGGGCAAAGTTCTCACAGACCCCCCTGAGGCTGGAGGCAGGGTCTCAGCGGGTGTGAGGCTCCCCGCACTTGGAGAAGGGTGCGGCCCCAAAGTACAAGGCAGGGCTGTGTGACTTCCTTGCCTCTTCTCTGGCCTAGTGGCTTACATTTCCATAGCAGCTGAGTGGGAGGCAGAGAGGAAGCCAGAGAGTGCCAGGAGGGACAGAGCGGGACCCCCAGTGCTGCCCTGGAGCTTCTCAAGCTCCTCCCCCACTTCTGCAAGACTGGAGCTGGGGGCTTTGGTCCTGCACATGTGCACAAGGAGGGGCTGGGGTACTGGTCTGAGGACCTCTGTTTCTGGTCATTTCTTTGTGTATACCATTTGGAGACAGGGTCTTACTGTTTCTAGGCTGGCCTTGGGCTCGTGGACTCAAGTGACCCTCCTGCCTTAGCCTCCCAAGTGCTGAGGTGACAGGTGTGTGCCACTGGTGTGCCTGACCTTACAGCATATTTTTCAGAATGTCGCCAACTTTATGTGTGTGTATATGTGCGTGCATGTGCGCGTGCGTGCGTGCGTGTGTGTGTGTGGTGTTTGTGCATGCTATGTAAGTTCTCTGCCGCTGGGCCACACCCCTGGTCCTACAGTGGTGGTTTTCAAACAAGGGACCATGATTCAGCATGCTGCAAGATCTGTTTGGTTATTTTCAAATATCATTAAAGAGGGGGCCTGCCCCTTAGCTCAGTTTTTTAAGTGGCTGCTTCAACAAAGCAGTCAGGCTCAGGTTGCTGTGGTTCGATCCCCACAACTCAAGCCAGCCAATCATGCCCTGAAGGCATTCGGAGCAAAAAAAAAAAAAAAAAAAAAAAACACAAATATCATTAAAGAAAAAATAAAAAGAAAGAAAGAAAGAAAAAGTTGGGTGTGGTGGTGCACACCTGCACTCCTACCACTTGGAGGCTGAGGCAGGAAGATTGTGAGGAAGGAGTTCAAGTCCACCCTGAGCTACATAGTGAGTTTAGAACCAGTCTGAACCACATAACAAGACCCTGTCTCAAAAAAATGGGAGTAAAAAAAAAAAAAAGAAACTATTGACTGGGGGCCCTAAACCAGGCCTTCCACATCTGCAGGATCAAGAATATTTCTGTATGGAAATGTACAGATTGTTTTCCTACATAATGCCGCATAACACCTATTTTCATGGTATCTACATTGGCTTAGGTCTGGGAAATCACTCAAGGGTTCACAGGAGGAGGGTATGAGGGTCTGTGCAAACACCATCTTGGAAAAGGTGTAGTCTCCACATTTGGGGCATACTCCTGTAATCCTAGCATTCAGGAAGTTGAGGCAGGAGGATCACAGTCAGTTTGAGGCCAGCCTAGTCACATACTGAGCTCAAAACCACCGTAAATTGCATGATAAGACACTATCTCAAAAGAAAAAGAAAGGCAAAGTCCAATCTGCAGAGATATAGAAGTTCACTGTCTATCTACACCTACATGCTGGATTGAGGCAAGAAACACGTTTCTTAGTGGCAATTTGGGTCAGTAGCACCTGCGGCCTTCCTGCTAGGACATGCTGCTTCGGACCTGCAGTCTGAGCCTGCCCGAGGGCCTGTGGGTCCGGTGTGCTGGGGGACATCCGCCCCAAGGCACAGCAGGGGGCCACTGTTTGCCCTGGTGTGAGCCCCGGAGCGGGTTTCAGTGACAGCATGTATATCTGCATCTGTGTGTGCCTGGGACTGAGGATCAGTGTCCTCACCTGTGTCCTTGTGTGGCTGGGTCTCTAGCCTGGGACTGGCTTCTGGGGCCACCATTCCCATGCTGTGCTCCCATGTGGGCATGTGGGTGGTGTATGCGGTGGCCTGAGACCACCATTCCTGTGCTGTGCTCCCATGTGGGCATGTGGGTGGAGTGCGCAGTGGCCTGAGGCTGGGCTAAGAACATCTCTTTCCAGGTTTGTGTGGCTCTCTTGGGCTCTGGCCAGTGTCACGGCTTTGTTCTGTGTGTCTTGGCGGGAGCTGCTCTCTCCTGGGTGTGTGTCTTGGTGACAATGGTTCGTGTGTGTAGGGTTACACCAGGTGAGAGTCTGTCTAGATTCCCACGCTTCTCTGTCACAGGACTCGTGGCCCTGGTATTTCTGCAGATTGGGTTCTGAGGGCCGTGGTTCTGACTGCAAGACTCAAAGCCCCAGACCCAAGGGACAATGACGGGGGCAAAAGATGGGGCTCTGCACACTCGGCCCCGACCCACTTACCTCGGACCAAGACGACCTGCTCGGCATGGCCTGTGCCCACAGCGTTGGTGACTGTGCAGATGAAGGTGGTGTTGACCAGTCGGTCCACAGAGTGCACAAACAGCTGGGAGCTCTTATTCACCGCGGAGGCTGGCAAGGTGCCTGAAGGCCTGGGTGTGGGGCAAAGGGAGGGGACAGCAGGGTCCACAGGGGGGAAGAGGCCAGTCCTGATGACACAGGTTTAGAACCCACTGCCAGGGCCTGGATTCACCCTGAAGACCCTAGATGCCAGCCCTCGTCCCTCAGCCTGGGCTCCTCCCTCAGCCCCAGGAAAGGGTTTGAGACCCAAGAATCTGAAACCTTCAATCCTCCTTCCTGAGGTCCAGGCATCTTGGACCCCGGCCCCTTCTCCCTCAGACCTGGGTTCTGGTCCCCTGAACTCACGTGCTCCAGCGGTAGTCTGTGGGCTTTGGGTTGCTGCGGACGTCGCAGTTCAGGATGGCCTCGGTGCGGCCCAGGTACCAGTTGTCATCATAGCCGGAGATGGAAACCTCGGGGGGGTCTGGGGAAGATACACAGGCTCAGGGATGGAGAATCCCCATGGGGTGGACAGTTAAGAAGCTGGACGGGAATCCTAAAACATGGTGGGTGGCCAGAGACACACAGGATGAAATAGTCTGGGCCATGTGTCACTATGCCTGACCCCTGTGGCATCGTCACTTAGGGCAGACAGTGCCGAGGGGTGGCAGCACGTGTAACTGTACGTAGAGGGGCGTGTTATTTGTAACACGCAGAGTAGAGGAAACAGGAAAGTGGATTTCAAACCAGTGTGCGGAAGGAAATCAGAACAGACCGGGTGCCGGGAGTCAGTGGGGGTCAGGCTTGGGGCCTCAATGCAGACACAGGCATCAGGGCAGGGGCACCGAACACCGAGCTGTGCGTGGGGTGCCCGGGGCAGTTCACACTTGTCAGGCTCCCAGTGAGGAGTGCTAGAAGGCCCAGAGGGAGTCCTAACTAACTGGGAGGCTGAGGCAAGAGAATGGCAAGTTTGAGCCCGGCCCGGGCAGCCTTGAGAGACACTGTCTCCAAAGAAAAAGCAAGCAGGGCTGGGGATGTAGCTCTGTGGTCCATCACCCCTAGGTTTGGTCCCTAGTATCAAAAAAACCAAACAGCGCTAGGTGGCCCAGAGGTGATAGTCAAGGATACTGTCACAAGCAGTTCCTGGAGGAGCTGGTCTAGAAGACACAGCAGGGGCCTGAGCCACCAAGGCCCAGAGCCTGTGGGGCAGTCCATATAGATGTACCAGGGTGAGGAGTGTTGACAGTGCTGAGGCGGGCAGTGTACACCACGGCCCGGGAGAGTTGATAAGGAGGGAACCAGCTGCGTGCTGTTACAGAAGAGCCTGGCAGGTGGCATCTGCCACTTTTCTAGGGGCTCAGGAACCCCCCACTAGTATCAAGCTACCAACAAGATGTTGCTCAGTGTGCGGAATTAGGAAGCAATGTGATAAACTGGTTCTTTTTGTTTTTCTTTCTTTTTGAGACAGGGTCTGGCTATGCAGTTCAGGCTGGCCTTGAACTCTCATGGTAACCCAGGCTGCTCTTAAGCTCACAGTGACCCTCCTGTCTCAGCCTCCTGAGTGCTGGGATTACAGATGTGTGCCACCACTCGGCTGCGGGTTGGCTCTCACAAGCTCATTTCAGCTGAGCAGTGCTGATAAAAGCCCAGTGAAGCAAGAGTAGATGACAAGCTGCTGCCTGTGGGAGCCAGTGCAGACCACAGGAAGGAGGCGGTGCAGAACTTGGCCAGGAAACTGTGCAGACAGCGGGGACAGTACAGGTGGCATGGGGTCGGCTGTGACACTCACAGCGCACAGAGAGGATCACAGGCAGCAGCACCGGCTCCTGGAAGGTCTCATGTTTCACTTTACAGGTGATCTGGACGCCATCCGTTCGGCCTAGGGGCACCATGGTGTAGCGGCTGGTGACGGTGACTGTGCCCGCCTGGGGTCCTGCCTCCTGGCTGTCTCTGGCCTCCCCATCCAGGGTTGAGATCCAGGTGATTTGTGCAGGGGGGCGGCCCCCCATGGAGATACAGCGGGCCACTGGGACAGGATCCAGGCTGAGCGTGACCTCCTGGGCTTCCGCGTGGTTCTGGGGCTGGGCTGGGGGAATGAACATGGGGGGCAATTTATTCCTGTGCAGCAGTCACTTAACAAACCCTTCACAGGGAGCAGGACAGTCAGGCCCCACCTCCTGGGCTCAGACCCCAGCTCTGCTGCTCGGCAGCTCAGCAGCTCTGGCCAGTCCCTTCACCAGTTGGTACCTCAGCGTCCTCGTGTCAGATGGAAATGACAAATGTCCTGCCCTGTGTACGACTATAGGACTGGAAATCTGAAGCAGGAGGATCATTGTGAGTTCAAGGCCAGCCTGGGCTACATAGTAAGACCCTGCCTCAAAAAATAAAACCAAACAAATCCCCACTCCATGGGATGGTTATGGGCAGCAAAGCAGACTTCTCTGGGATTAGGTCCAGGCCTGGCACACACAGTACTACCCGAGTACTGCCCATTCTCCCATGTTGTCCCCTCCCCTCTGATCCCCACATGGGACAATGGCCCAATGTAGCCATTTATCTGTCTTTTTCACTCAACTCTCTTGGAAAACCCAGAAAAATCCTGAGGAGAGCAGGAAAGCAAAGTCTCCTAAGAGAAGCAGCAACTCAGGCTGACCTAGGGGTCTACAACCCTGCTGTCCCCAGGGTTCTGACTGGCATCTCCAGCTGCCTCTAGACCTGTCCCTGTGCATTCCTCCAATGGCTCTGATGTGGCGACTGTGCCCCAACCACCTCACCAGAGCCCCTGGGGGTCCCCAGACAGCAGGAAGCCGTGAGCCCGGGGAGCTGGCATGGGCCGCCCACAGCTGACAGTGCCCACTGCTAGGTCCCAGGTGCCAGCCCAAGTCTTGCCTCCTCAAGAGGACGTCCCTGTGCTGTTCAGTGTCCCCAGTGTCTGAGCGGAAAGCTTTTTCACTTTCAGTACCTACAAAGCCTGGTACCTGGCAGTTGTTCTTAAGTTTTTATTGCTTTGGGTTTTGGGATTGGGTGTTGCTTTGTAGCTCAGGATGGCCTCAAACTCACCGTGATCCTCCTGTTTCAGCCTCCCAAGTACTTTCCTGCTTCAGAGAGGGCCCCTCAGTCCCCATCCATCCCTGGAATGCACAGGGTTGGTGCCCACCTTCCTCTGCTCCTGTCTAGGACTTGTCCAGGAACCTCCCTTGATAGCCAACATGTCGCAGGGCCCAATTTCCTTTCTCTCAGCCTCTGTCTCCTGCCCCCCATGACCCCCAGGTTGATGCGTCCTTCCCGCTCACTACCCATGTAGCTTCTGATCTCAGGACAAGTCTTCACTCGGATCCCCCACCAGCTCTGACTCTACCTCCTCCATTCACTCCACCCTGTACTCACAGTTCTGTACCCCGCTCCCTCCCTTCCTTCTAGATGTGTCCTGCCACAGGGCCTTTGCATGCACCCTTCCTACCACCTAGATTTCTCCTCTCTTAGATATCTACCAGGCTCCATGCCCTCCTTTTAGTTTTTGCTTAAAAATCAGCAGATATCCCTAGCTAAGACTGCAACCTGTCCCGCTCAACTTTCCTAGCGCCTAAAACTGCCAGCCTGGTTTTATTATTTATTTATTTGGTACTGGAGATTGAGCTCAGCACCTTTGCACTAAACTATACTTCCCCCCTCCCATCTTTTATTTTGACACAAGGTCTCACTAAATTGCCTGGGGTGACCTCAAACTTGGAATCCACCTGCCTCAGCCTCCCAGAGTGATGGGATTACAGGCTGGTGGAACTAGGCCCATTATTTACACGCTCTCTGCCTACTGACTGCAGCATGAGCGCCAGGAGGGCAGGGAGTTCTGCCTCAGCTCATCACCCTGAAAGCCTAGGAAAGCACCTGGCAGGTGCGCAAAAAAATGTGCTGATCTTGCATTACTGCCTGCTGTATCCGCAGCACCCAGAGAAGCGCCTGGGACACAGTAGGTGCTTAATGAACACCTGCCAACAGAGTGATGTCACTGGGAGAGCCACTCTTGACGTAGGCCACAGAGAGATGGATGGGGAAGGGGTGCTCCTGCGAAGCGCCCCACTGCTCACCGAGGACTCGGAGCCAGGTCACCCCCGAGCGGGTGCCTTTTGGGAAGGTGGCGAACTCGCAGGTGTAGTTTCCCTCGTCCTCCAGGCGCAGGTCTCGGATAGCCAGCGTGGCATCGTACAGGTTGGTCTTGGCTCCCTGGCCAGCTCTGACAAAGGCCAGGCGCTCCTGGCTGGCCTGCTGGTTGGGGAAGTGGGTGCCGAAGTTGGGGTGGAAGGCAGCCACGGAGACTCCGTTCAGGCGGTGCCAGGTCACCTGCGTGACGTTCACGTTCTGGGTGTGTGGCAGCAGATGACACGGCAGCTCCACAGTGCTACCCAGCTGGCCCTGCACCTCGGGAAGCACTTGGACCTGCATGTCCTGGGCTCCTGAGGGGAGAAGAAGGCGAGGCTGGTGGCACAGAGACCTCCACGCCAGGCAGGACTAGCCAGAAGGTCTGTGCCAAGGACAAGGGGCGTATCCTCGCAGTGGCCAGCTAGAAAGGCCATTTTAGGGACAATTAGGGAAATTCAAGTCTAGGCTGGTGAGTAGAAAGACCACACTCTCCATCACACGCTTGCACCAGGACACAGGGTCCCCCAACGAACAACACCTGATCTCTAGGGGGAGCCCTACATTTCACTGTGACACCAGCTACATGCCACAGTGGTGTTGGGTCCTGCAGGTCCATGGCTCAGTTCCCAAGACTACTGTCCCACTCCTATGTGACAACTGAAGGCTCCTGGCTGGGGTTTTTTCTTTTAGTGAGGGGGTAGTTTTGAGACTAAAACACGTTGGCGGGGCTGGTGAGATGGCTCAGTGGTCTAAAGCACCTACTTAGAACAAGCTTAGCAAAAAAGCACAGGGACCATGGTTCAATCCCCCAGCACCACATGCCAGCCAGCCCCGCCCCCTGGTGGGCTGAGCTGGCCACAAACACACACATAAATAAATAAAATTAAAAAAAAACAAACAAACCACGATGGCCATAAACTCAGGCTGGCCTCAAACTCACAAAGATCCTCCTGTCTCAACCTCCAAAATGCTGGGATCACAGGAGTGCATCACCACCATATCTGGCTGTGTGTTTTTTAGGCAGTGCCCCTGTGTTTCCTAGGCTGGTTCTGAACTTTCGGGCTCAAGAGATCTTCCTGGCTCAGCCTCCGAAGCAGCTGGGACTAAAAGCACATGCTACCCTCCCTAGCTTCCATTAATTTGTTTAACCGGCTCTCAGAATTCAGGAAAACAGTTCCCTGCCTTATTGTAGAGGTTATAATGAAGAATAAAGATGAAGAGGCCCACAGGACAAGGCGTGGGGGGAGCCTGCAGCTTCCTGCCCAGGGCGGTGGTGCCTATCTCTTGGGACTCCAAGTGTAAAGCTAGCTATTCGGGAAACTGGCTGCTGGGTGTTCTCTTTTCCTTCAGTCCTAGAGACCGAACCCAGAGGCTTTGCCAGGAGCTACAACTCTCCTTATCTGCCTCTGCCTCCCAGGGGGCTGGGATTATAGATCATCGCTATCTCAGCCCCTTTGGGTTTTTTCAGATCCTTTTGGAAACCTCACTGGAGATCAACTCTGCCTCAGAAATTCTGCCCCAACCCCAAAATCCTGTCTTGTCTCACTGGGGATCAGTCCCCATCCTGAGGTTCCCTGGGGTCCTGACAGTGAACTTCTGTGCACACCCATGATCCCAGCACTGAGGGAGGCTGAGGCAGAAAGAACCAGTTTGAGTCTAGCCTGAGCCGTTTACCCACTTAGTAAGACTCTTTAAAAAAAAAAAAAAAAAGGTTGAGGGCATAGCGCACTGTGGAAGTCTGGGGTTCATCCCTAGTACTGGAGGAAAAAAGACACTATTTATTAACACTACGGAGAGTTGAAGGATTTTAGGAGTTACACACCAGGAATTATTTCATAAAGTCATAATGAGATTACATGTTATTATGGAATTACTGGTAATGTTCTTTAGGCATGAAAATTAAGTTGTGGTTACGCAGAATACCTGTTGCCCGGAGCACAGAGGGTTGAAGGATTGTGGCTGCAAAGTGCTCGGACAGCTGCTCAGCACAAACTCCTCACCAGAGTCATTTGTAATGTGTACAGTGCCACGGCCTTCAGTGTAGCTCCGGGGTTGTGGGCTCCTTGCCAGGCAGTTTTAGGGCACTTTTTCAGTGTCCCCATAAGAAACTCTCACTCTCATTCAGTAGTCACTTGGGATCTACCTTCTTCTTTTTTTTGTAGTACTGGGGATTGAACTCAGGACCCTGCACTTGCCAGGCAAGCGCTTATTCTACTGAGCCATCTCCCTGGGGCTGGGATCCACCTTCTGGATGTAGATCTCAATACCTCATCCTTTGGCTGTCTATGGACTTGTCTATGCTAGACTTGGCATATAACATGACCTCTGACCTTTAGCTCCTGGTACCTTTATTTACTTTTTAAAGACAGTATTTTATTCTTATGTATTTGGTACACAGTCTTACTCTGCAGCTCAGACTCATGGTGATCCTCCTGTTTACAGGCTCCCCAGTGCTGGGATTACAGGTATGCACCACCATGCCCAATCTCTGTGGCCTGCTCAGTATGCCTACAGGCGGGGCTGGCGCGGCATGTGGTGCCAGGGATCGAACCCCCATCCCTGCACCTGCCTAAGCAGGCGCTTAGTCTGCTGAGCTATCTCGCCTGCCCTGGTGTCTTCATTTTACATCACAAGTCCTTTCTCTTCTTTGAGATACAGTCTGGCTATACAGTTCATTCTGGCTTTGACCTTTATGTAGCCAGGCTGGCCTCAAACTCTTGGTGATCCCCTTGTCTCAGTTTCCAAGTACTGAGATTACAGGCATGCGCCACCATGCCCAGCTTTCTTTCTCTTTTCCATCTTCTCTTCCTTTTTCCCTTCTCTTCATTTCTTTTCTGCAGTGTTGGCGGTGGAACCCCAGGCCTCAGGTATGCCAGGCAAGGGCTATACCACTGAGCTACATCCTCAAACAATTCCTCACTTCTAGCACCAAGCAGGACAAGGAGGGCTTTCTAGACAGTGTGAGGCTGCACAGCGTGGTGACGACGGGCACAGACTTTGTGGTTCTGAGTCCTAGCTTTCCCTCTTCCTGGCTGTGTGGCCTGACACGAATCACTCATCCTCTCTGTGCCTCGGTTTCCCAGCTGTAAAAGGAGGATAATAATAGGGTCCTATGTCCTAGGGGTTGTTATGAGGGTTCAACAATATTTGGAGAGCACTAATAGGGCCTCAGGAAGCTGGAGATCAGAGCTTGTTCAATAAACACCATGAGGTTGCTGTAATTACAAATGGCCCTTGATGCTCTGCCCTGAGTTGTGGCAGGGCCCAGGGACGGCGAGAGCATGCACAGCCCTGGCTCCATGTGCAAAGGAAACTGGGAGACATCACCAGATGGCCCTCGTGGGGATCCAGGCAGTCCAGGCAGGAGTGCCAAGGACAAGGACCATCCCAGGAGCACTGAGAAGAGACCATGAGTGAAGGTCTCCAAGTGACACACACACAGCACATCATGTATGCGTCACACTCAAGCCACCTTGCAAAGGGGGACGCGTCCTCTGCAGGGGATGGAAGTTAGGTGTAGTGCATCACAAATCCTACACTCCCTCCCCCTTGCTTACTGAGCCGAGCGACCTGCTTCCCATGCCCAGCCTCCTCCATGTGTAACACAAGGGCTCCTGAAAATCCCAGCCCCCCTGTGCTTTCTGTGGAACCCAGCACGGTGCATCGAGCCCGAGGAGTCAGTGCTGCTGCTACTGCATTTGGCTCTTCGTGTGTTTGCTGGGATGCACAGGGGGTTCATTTATTCTATTTTTTTTAGCTCTAGAGATTGACCCCAGGGTTTCTATACTCAGCTACATCCCCACTCCATTTTAATTATCAGGTAGGGTCTTGCTAAATTCTTAAGGTGCCCAGGCCAGGTTTCAACTTGGGATCTTCCTGCCTCAGCTTCCCTGAGTGCTACGGTTACAGGTATGAACCACCAGCCCTGACAGCACAAAAACCAAAAAAACAAAAAAATAAACCAAATCCAGACAAAACCAACGATATGAGGCTCCTGGAATTCAGTTGGGTTAAAGAAAGGCCTCCCTCCCAGACAAGGGCTTCCTCTGGGCTTCCCTGAAGCCCTTAGAATCCTGTCACCCTAGGGTGCCCAAGGGGAAGGACACTCCAGAAAAGGCTGTTGGGGGGGGGGGAGGCCTGCCCACTAGCTCAGTTGATTAAGTGCCTGCTTAAACACAGCAGTCAGGCTCAAGATGCTCTGGTTCGAACCCAGTTTCTCACAGGAAACCAGAAATGCCCTCAAGGCATCTTCAGGCCTCCAAAAACAAAACAAAAACAAAAACCCTTCAGCCCTTTTTAT